TTCCAGTTCTCTCTTTTGATTTTATATTGGAGTGACCAGATTGCTTTTTGTCTTCAGGAGTTCCCACAGAGGCCCAAGTCAGATGAGGATCAGATGCTCTCAGGCTTTCTCCTAAGGTCTGGATCCCTCCAGGAAAGATGTTGTCCTCAGGAATTTGGGGGTTGGATTGGCCTGGGAGCAAGGCCTACGAAAGATGCTGATCTTGGGCACCTGGTGGCCGTGCCACCCATGAGTGCAAAGGGGGTGGGAGGAGGCCCCAAGGGCTCCTGGGGACTGCTGGGAGGTATTGGGTTGGTCTGGATGCAAAGGATCAGGAAGCAGTGATGCCTTCAAGTAGAGAGGTCAGCCACCGTGTCTGGGCTGCCAAGACAAGAAATGGGCCAGTACCCAGGGAAGGAGGAGAGACTGGGTGGGGGAACTGGGAGGGTTAATGAGGCTGGGGAGTCATGGTGTGGTGGGCAACAATATACTTACCCAGAAAAGAGGCTGGCGGGTTGTGCAGTCTAGGGAAGCAGTGGGAGGTAGGGCGGGACCAGGCTCAAAAGGCTCCTAGAGACTGAGAGAAGGAGCTGGGTTGGTCTGGATGTCAAGGATCAGGAAGCAGTGGTGGTTCCAGGGTAGAGGTCAGTCCTGGTGTCCTGGAAAGAGGCTGTCGGGTTGTGCAGTCCAGGGAAGCAGAGGGGCGTGATGCCTGACCTGGCCCATTGGGCTCCCAGGAGAGTCGCTGGTGTATTTGCAGACCAGGGAAGCAGAGGGAGGTGTGGGTGGTACCAGGCCCAGAGGGCTCCTTAGGACCAGGAGAAGGAACTGGGTTGGTCTGGATGCAAAGGATCAAGAAGCAGTGGTGGTTCCTCTGGTATCTGGTGTGCCAGGACCAGGAATGGGACAGTACCCAGTCTAGGAAGAGAGACGGGGCAGGGGAGGTGCGAGGGTGAATGAGGCTGGGTGTGTCAAGGCAAGGAGGGTGCTGATGGATGGACTTACTCAAGAGAGAGGCTGGCAGGTTGTGCAGGCCAAAGAAAGCAGAGTAGAATACAAACCTTAATAACATGACTTTACAGATATGTTCACAGTAGCTTTATACTTAATATAAACAACCTAGGAGCCCTAATGGAAAGTAGATAAACTGGATTATTTGGACAGTGACCTACTACTCATCAATGAAAATGGATCAATGCAGATATACAATGTAGATGAGTCTCAGAAACATGCTGAACGAAAGAAGCCTTATGCAAAGAGTTCCTGGAACTGTCTGGGTCGATGTGAAGCTTCAAAGCAGACAAAGCTAACATGATGAGAAATTCAGAATAGTGGTTACCTTCAAGGAGTTACAGATAAATTCCCTGGCAAGGGGTATGAATGTTCTTTTCAAAAAAATACTTATTTTTATTTTACGTGTATGATTGTATTGCCTGGATGTATGTAAGTGCACGCCTGTCATGCAGTGCCTGAGGAGGTCAGAAGAGGGCATCAAATCCTCTGGAACTGGAATTATGGACAGTTGTTAGCTGCCATGTAGGTGCTGGGAACTAAACCCGGGTCCTCTGCAAGAGCAGCCATTGCTCCTATCTGCTGAGTCATCACTCCATCCCTGTGCATGCTCTTTGAGAGGACTGTAGGTAGATTCAAGGGTATAGAATTGAAAGTGTATTCCACTCTATTTAAGTTTTAGGTTACAAAAAATGCTATAAAGCAATGACTGATTTCTAAATGGTAACATGCATGCACACATTCTTAGAAGGCATAGTGCTACTTGTCTGCATGGCAGAAATGCTTTACAAATGGAATGGATTGATCGATGGATAAGGAATTTATGATGCTATGTGATGTTATGTAATACATTTGAAGAAATCATTGTAGACAGTGTATACTTTGTAGGTGTATGATGTCTGCTATACAACTGTACAATATTTGTTTAAATATTTTCTTAATATAGTAGAAAAAATAAAATGAAGTAAATGTAAATAAAAGATATGACAGTGTATTTGTTGAGCATTGAAGTGCTCATTAGCCAGGATTCTGGACATGTCAACTCTGTGCTGGGCCATCTCCATCATCATGGGTAATCATTGTCAGTATGAATGCCGTGGGCCTTCTCTGGGAGATCTTTTGGGGCCATACTTCCCTAGCATTCTGTACTCCTGTCACTTGTACTAGCTAGAATGTACCTGTCTTAGGGTCTCTTAGCTCAGAGTTGTTATTACAGGTATCTATAGGGAAGGCAATTCTTTATCTTTTTTTTTTTAATTTTATGTGTGTGAGTGTTATGCCTCATCTGTAAGCGCACCCATGTTGTGCAGTGCCCACAGAGGACAGAAGAAGGCGTTGGATTCCCTGGAACTGGAGTTACAGACATTTGTTAGCTGCCATGTGTGCTTGGACCCAAACGCAGGTCTTCTGCAAGAACAGCTAGTGCTCTTAACTGCTGACCATCTCTCCACCCCTCCCCACCCCCGCCCCAAGAAGGCAATTTTTAATAGCATCTCCATATCTCTGCACTATTAGGTTTCATCTTTTCAGTAGCATTTTACTGCGTTTTTATTGAAAATTGTCCTAAAGCAAATCTTCCCTGAAGAATCATGCTCTTGGCGCTATAGACTTAAATATTCTTGTTTATGTAGTGGACATTAGTTCATGACCATAAACACTAGACTTTATCAGGGTAGCAAATTAACTTTCACCTATTCTATTAAGATTACCTAAAACATTAAGCAGTACCAAATTATGTTAAGTTAAAAGATGTGTTTGGAAAGAAGGTTGTTAGCATGTAATATAGAGATGTCATGTTTGACTACACAATTATTTAATTTGACCAAGTAGCTAAATATTAAATAAAAATGTGAATTTTTTTCCTAATCAATTATTGTATTTATTATGTAACTTGCTAAATGTCTGTTTTCAGAGCTCTTAGAGGGTCAGCCTTTGGGAGTATAATAGATGAATTTGAACATTTAGTTATAGCTACTTGAAAGGCTGAGCCCAGGAGTTTGAGATCAGGTTGGGTACCATAGTGATAACCTTGCCTTCAAAGAAAGGAGAGGGGCTGACAATATAGCTCCACAAGTAAGGGCACTTGCCACCAAACCTGATGACCTGAGTCCAGCCCCTAGAACCCACGTGATAGTAGGAGATAGCAGACTCCTCAAAGTTGTGCTCTGACCTCCAAACACATGCTGTGCTCACACACAAACACAGAAAATTTGTTTTTTTAAATACACTAACTTGCTTTCTGATTTTGCTCCTAATGTCAGGACATGTTTTTGGCTCAATGCTCTAAAGAGAAGACCTCAGAAAGATTTATTACCTACTCCTCCAAAAGATCCCTATCGGAAAGGCTTAAGTAGTCTAAAACACATGGCCTTTCCATCACACCTTCATATGCAGAGACTGCAAACTCCAGAAGAGTTAGCTTGACCCCTTGACCCCAGAGGGAACATGTTTTAGGTTCTATGAAAATTAACCATTTGGATATTCAGCCTTGACTATGCGTAGTTACCACGCTTTTGGACACTGGAATGGATCCTTCTTTTCTGACCCAGTGACCATCCTTCCATGAGCTGGTTATCTCTGCTTACCCTGAACTTTGTTCAGATTCCTTCATTTCAATGGTAAAATCACTGAAAAAATCACAATTTACCAAATTACCCAGTCCTTGTCTACACTGGGCCCCATGTCAGTCAGCTCCCTAAATGTGACTTGTTTTTAATACCTAGTGTAGGTTCCTTTCAGCCCCTTTTCCCGATCCCATTTCTCATTGAACCCCCTGATGGGGTTGGACCTTGTCTTCCATATTGCCCCGTCCCATGTCTGTGCCTCAGACCCTAACTCCTGACTACTCAACCCCTGCCACTCTGCCATCTCTTCATAGAACTATGCAGGTTCTGAAGGAAGGCAGAAGCCTTGGCAAGTCTTCATGCTGTGATGCATGAGGCTCCAGAGGCCCTCAGTCTAGCTTTTCAGAGACATTTCCATTTGAGTCATGGTCAGCTCTGTGCTTCCTCCTGCATTCTCAGATCAGCTGTTTTCCTTCATCATTCAATAAATTCAGGTAGTCTGTTAGTGAGATATCAGCATTGTTTGCAGTATTCCTATTTGTCTGTCAACTTCAACCCCTTTAGAGTTCACTAGGGTTCCCATGGCAGCCTTGTCCTTACAGGTACTGTCATGCTTTCAGAATAAAGAAGAGGGCGATATTTAGTTACTTTTTCATGTAGCCAAGGCTGGCTTCAGACGTGCTGTGTAGCTGTCCATGACTTTGAACTTCTGATTCTCCTGCCCCCACCTCTTTAGTGCTAGAATTACAGGTGTGCACTGCCACACCTGGTTTAAAATATACTTTCTGATGGTTGCTGCCGTGTTGTTTCTAGGATGAGTACTGATGGAACAGCAGAATTGAAGGTGGAGAGCATGAATTCCAAGGCCAAGCTGCATGCTGCGCTTTATGAGAGGAAGCTCCTGTCTCTGGAGGTGCGAAAACGTAGACAACGGAGTGGAAGATTGAGGGCTGTGAGACCAAAATACCCAGGTACCTGCCAGTGAGCTTTCACCAAACTATGCCATCTGGGTCCTGGCAGACCCCATCAACCAGCTTCTTACTCAGTACTTAATGAGTCAGAACTCTGCTGACCACATAACTGCTTTTATTTTATGCTTGTTTTTTTTTTCCTCTGAAACTTAATTTTGAAAGGATTTTAAGTGTGTAAATGTTCCTTCATATAGGTATTGAGGAATATCTGCAGTATACATATTTGGTATTGAGTATACATATTGGTATTGAGGCATATCTGTAGTGTACATATTTGGCTCCTGCTTTCTTCCTACCATCATACAATCACTTGACACTTTAGAAGTAATATCTGCCCTAGTTTAGTAGAACTCTGGGCAGTGTTGTTGGAGTTATTGATGATTAGGTAAGCCTAGTTCATCCTTTGAAATTACCAAGTGATATAAATATTTTAGATAAAGGAGTTTCCTCCCCTCACCCAGATTCTCCACATTTCAAATCTATTTTTGACTGATCAATAGATTGACTTCCTATTATAAGAGAGTGAAAGAGAAAGATGGCAGTCAAAATAGGAAAGAAAAATATTCCCCTGTTCTATATGTCGCCATGAAGTGTGCTGTTTAACACTTTATAGAGAGTACTCAGTCAAGGACATTTTGTAGCAGGGATTGCCTTCAATTATGAGAGGGACATGGGGTTTAGTTAGAAATATCAATTCTAATGATCATTAATAGATTTTTTAAAAGAATATGTGGTTAGAGAATGATATACTTTCTGAGAGTTTGTGTTTTGTTTGTGGATTGATTTAGAGATGGGTTTTTACTGAGAGAAAAGGAAGGTGTTGGGAGAGAGTCCATTTTAATCCTTTTTTCAGCAACATTAGTGATTCTTCGCATTTAGTGATTACCCAGCCAACTGAAATGAATATTAAAACTGAGACAGAGAGTGAAGAAGAGGAAGACGTCGGATTAGACAATGAAGATGAAGAGCAGGAAGCTTCCCTAGAAGAGTCTGCGGGGTCTCTAGGCGAAAATCAAGCCAAGTACACACCTTCATTGACTGCTATAGTAGAAAATTCTCCCAGAGAAAATCCCATGAAAGTTGCTGACTGGAATAATAGAGGTGGCCAGTGCTGCAAAATTGAGACTCAAAAGCCAGAGTCTAAATTTAATCTGATGCAGATTCTGCAAGACAATGGAAACCTAAGGTATGAACCTTTGATAGTTACAGTGTAAGATTGGTAATAGCTAACTTGTACTGAATATCAGGTAGTGCTTTGATGCTTCACAGTCATTTTTCATTGATAATGACAGCAATCCTATGAACTAATGGCTGTGACTAGACATTGCTATTATGGAAACTGAGGCTGAGAGAAGTTAAGTAACTTGTCCAGGTAGAGCTGTAGTAAGCACCAGGTTTCATAGGCCCAACAGATATTTGGTGGGCATCATTATCAGTCAGAATACAAAGTGACCAAGACAAGGAACTCCAGCAGCTCAGGGGGCTCTGACCCCCATAAGAACAAAGTACTCTTGGGTCACAGAGAAAGAGGGCTAGATGGGCATCATGTGGGAGGTGATGTTTGAATCAGGTCTTGACTGATAAGTTTGATTTCAGGAGACTTGGAAGGTGAACAGTAAGTGTTGGAAGTGTTAGATAGGTAGAGAAGTGAGCAACTCTGAAGTAGGGTGATATAGCCATTCCTTCAGTCCAGCATCAAACATGTACTGAGCACCTGCTCTGTGCCAAGAATATACTAGGCCATGTAGTGTTGCTATGGGGACCCAGGCAGGCTTATGGAGCTTACCATCTCTTGGGAAGACGGAAAGTAAACAAAGAAACAAGGTCATTTCAGGCAGTGGAAAATGCTTTAAAGAAAGTAAAATAGGATGATGATTGAGCGTCATTGGGTAGAGAGTTACTAAGTCTATGGTGATCAGACATGAAGAGGTAACTTTGAAGGTGAGTTTGAATGATGAGGAGTCAGTTATGTGAATGTCAGGAGGCAGATTACTCAAGGCACTGAAACTGGAACATACCTTCATGTTTGGGAAATAACAGACTAGAGTGGCAAAGTGGGTGGAAAAGTGTGGTAAGAAATTAGGCCTTAAACAAAATTGGATGCTCTTGATTTGTGCTGGGCCTTTAGAGGAGCTTGGGTTTTATTTTCTGGATGATTTCTTAAGCAAATGCATAATACAGTCAGGTGTTGTTTTAAAAAGTAAATTTTGCCTCCATTGTGGGATAGGGGGTGATGAGAAAAGAAACTAAGGGAGAAAGGTGACTCAGGACACTTAGAATGTCCAAAACCTGGAAGACGAAGGCATTGGCCAGAATAGTGGTTATAGGAATGGAAAGCATGAGATGAACTTAGGAAATTTGCAAGGTATAATTGACAGCCTCAAGTGTTCCATTAGATTATGTGGTGATCAACCATTGATAGATATAAAGAACCTACAAGTTGTTTCCTCATAGAAATCTTGGGTTTTGTTTTGGGTGAGGAGGATATGCTCTGTGCTGACCAATAAAAATACAGCTTTATATGTCAAGAATATGAAGATTACACTGTTCATAGTTAGAGTCTTAAAGTAGACATTATTGCAATTCCAATTAACTCAGCACGTATAAACAAGGAAAAAAGAGAGAGCAGCACTCTGGGGAAATACCACTCTGGGTAGGTCAGTAAAGTGGGAGGGGATAATAGAGTAGCAGGTACAGAGGAGAATTTCAGGTCTGCAATGTTAGATGGAGGGGTAGAAAGACACTTCTGGATTTGTGGGCCAGGGAGCAATTGCGGGCTGAGGAAATCAGAAAGCAAGTGTGAAATAACTTTTCCAAAGGATTTGGCAGAGAAAGGTGAGACTGCATTAGGGAGAGAGCAAGCTGCCTTGAAAAAGATTGCTTTGTTTTTAGAAGGTATTCTGCAGTCTATTATTTATTCTTGTCTATTATTTATAGACTTAAGGGGAAGGATTTGATGGCCAAAGGATTAGAGATGCAGAAATGGATGTATTGGCAGAGAAGTGTCCTAAAAAGAAAGGGTGGAAAGAGACCAGTAAAGGGATAACACTCTTCTTTGTCATAAAGGAAGGACTTTGCAATGAGTATACTAGATAGGAGAGCAAAGAATGGGGGTTGTCTACAAAATGGCTTGTGTTTGCTGAAGGCCGGAGCATACACTGAGGGGCTGCCAGTGACATTGTAGTGTGGAGGTGATAGAGTTTAGGTTTGAAACAGTGTTGTGGAAAATGGTAATAGTCCATTAAAACTTCTGGTTACTCAGTTACAGTACCCAAGCTCTGGTTTTTTTATTGCTCTAACTGGTTACGTGATTGTAAGCAAGTCAGAGACCTTTTTGAGGCCTGTTTCCTTTTCTGTCATGCCAAGTTATAGGGTTAGACCAACTTTTTTCAAAGTACTTTCTGAAAGAGGTGTGGCAGAGGGATATCTAGGGAATTGAAAATAGAACATGAAACCATATTGTGAGCTCCTAGTTTCTAGTATCACATTCCTTTAGCTGTTGTAGAAATAAATCCTTTCTTCATACATTGTAGAGATACCGCTTACAGTGAGAAACTGAAAACTTGTAGACTACGTTGGTATAAATCAGTGGATTCCAGACTCTTTCTAGAAGTCGCCCATTGCCCTGCGGGGTATCTCAGTAGTTCCTGAGAGGTTGGGGGAGGACCAAGGCTAGGGTTGGAGACTGTAGGCACTGCCTCCTTGTGTAATTTATATGCTGAGGATCTATGCAGTCTTTTGATTTTTTAAAAAATAGGTTGCTTTGGCCAGGCGTGGTAGCGCACGCCTTTAATCCCAGCACTTCGGAGGCAGAGGCAGGTGGATCTTTGTAAGTTCGAGGCCAGCCTGCTCTACATAGTGAATTCCAGGACAGTTGGGGCTACAGGGAGACCCTGTCTCAAAAAGACAAAAAAAAAGTTGCTTTGATACAAATTCTATTTGGGGAGTCTGAGTGGAAGTTCTTTGCCAGTGACTAACCAATACATTTGAAACAATCTCAAATTAACCTTTCAGAGTCCTTTTAGTAAGGTTTATAGAAATGAAAAACTCAGTACTTTTTAAAATTTGAGTTGAAACAAAATAATAATTGAAATCTCAACTTATAATCAGTAATTTACTTACCCAGTAGACCGTCCTTATTTCTGTATAAGGATCCAATCAATGCAGTTGGAGATTCTTTTATACTTGGAAATATCTAAAATATGCTGTTATTCTCCAGGAGAACAAGAATAGAAATGTCTTCTGGAAACATTTGGAAATTTGAATTCATTGTTTCAGATTCATACTGTGCTCCATAAACTATCCCTGTTAGTAAGAAGGATGTGGCCTTATATATAGCTCAGGTTCTGAAGCTCTTATGAATGAAAACGCAAGAGCAAGTAGATCCATGGCCTGGCTCTCCTGCCCTCCAGTCCTCTAAAACATAGTGCAGTCGCGGACCCTCAGGATTTCCAGTTTGCTTGGGACAAAGGAACAGAAAGTGTTCCGTGATTGCATGTGTGAGGATTGTAAACAAAGTATGTGTTGGGCCCTAATCTTTACTGATGTAATTTTGGCTACAGTGTCAGGAGGCCGATCAGCTGAAGTAACCAGAATCTTGCCTGAAAGAAAACAGATCCACCGCAATTAGCAGCTGAAGGGAACGTCATCACTGCTTCTGGTTCTCTGTCCTTCACACTGCAGCTTGATGAAGTTCCGTGTTTATAACCTAGACCACTAAGCAGAAGGCAGCTGGCGCCCTGATGCTTTTACCATCTTGAGGGATTGCTTTTCCCCACTGAACATCAGGGTTCATCCCAGCCTGTCGGATCATCTCCGCCAAGCTCTGTTGGACCTCACTCATTTGTTCTGGGCTCCAGCCACTTCTGTCTTGTAGTTAAGAAAGGCATGACCTTAAAATGTGGTCTCAAAAGTTCCTTTGTAGGATTATCTATTTCCTGCTTTGGAGACTTTTGCACGTTAGATATATTAGTTGTCATAATAAAATCCATACTTCTGTACCATCTGATAAGTATGTCCTTAAAGGCTTCCAACAGCAGAGCCCCTTTCCTTGTTATTGCAAATGTTTTCATGAAATTTCAGCTCTCTGTGCATTCCCTTTAGAAAGTTGTTAAGAAGTTCAAAGAGGTAACATGGTGAGTAGGATGAATGATTTTCAGTTCCTGGATGTTTTTTCCTCTTTACACTAATAATTAGAAATAGATTCTCCATTGTTAATGGGAAAAAGTTAAACCCTCATGTAGTGTTTAGTTTAGAAGGGTTATTCAGTGGTATCTATATAATGGGTATTTTTTGTTTGTTTGTTTGTTTGGCCTTTTTGAGACAGTTTCTCTCTGGAGCTCTATGTAAACCAGGGTGTCCTTGAACTCACAGAGATCCTCCTGCCTCTGCCTCCTGAGGGCAGGGATTAAAGGCATTTGCCACCACACCCGGCTTAATGGGCTTCATATTTCTTAGCCATCCTAACAGATTTCAGTAGCCATCCTTAAAGGCCTTTTTGAGAGAGGTAGGTTTATGGTTGGTAGATTAACCATTTGTCTCATAATGGTGTATTGTTTTGGCTTTCTTCAGCAAAGTGCAGGCCCGGTTAGCATTCTCTGCCTATCTCCAGCATGTGCAAGTTCGTCTGACAAAAGACAGTGCTGGCCAGACGCTCGGTCCCAGTTGGACTGCAAAAGAGGACGAACAGATGGTGAGGTTCTGCTCACTGGAACCTTTGGTTGCCCTTTTTCTTTCCCTCCCTCCTTCCCTCTCTCTGTCCCCCAAACAGCAATATATTCTTCTGGTACAAGAATTATTACAGAACCTGCAAGAAGGCTCAGTGGGGAAAGGCTCTAGCCACACAAGCCTGGTAACCCGAGTTTGATTGCCAAAACCCACATAAAGGCTCAAAAGGGGAGAAGTTGTCTTCAGAGGACACCACAAGTTGTCCTCTGACGTGTGCTGTGGCTCAGGCAAACATACAGTGATAAATAAAAACTTTTAAAACTGCTAATTTCTAGATTTCTCATAATTTTACATGATGTAAGACAAGTCTTTGGTCTGAAGCCATATTCACTATACCATGTAGTGGGGCATCAACTTATTCCATTTTGAAGTAGAAATTGACTGCTCATTGGATGTTAAGCCCTGTGGAAAAGCCTTGAGAAAAGTAACACTTTCTAGTCCTTTCTTAGTCAACTTCCCCTTTCATTCTTTGAGGGAGTCCTTAAACCCTTTTACAGATAAGGGTACAAAGACCTAGAGAAACTAGGGCTCTCATTCCCTAACTTGGATGTGGTAATGCGTGAAGCTGGCTGCTGCAGCTGCCCATTACTTGCTCTTACATCATTTCTACGTCATAAAGCATTTATTTTCTCTCTTAAAGAGTCTCTTTAAGACTCAGTACCTTGTAGGCCCTCTCAGAACATACCATCCTTCAACTTAACTTTCTTTGCTAATTATAATTGCATAAAATTCTTGAATTATTAGACTCAAACTTAAGTGACAATTTCGACTTGCATATCAGTCATTTGAACACATCCTATATTTAATATTCTAAAAACTGTTTTCACTTTTGGGTCACAATGACAGAGAACTTAGTTCTTTGGTAAGGTCAGAGCTTATAGAAGCCACTGCCTTTGCATAGGTTTGGACAGCAGAGCTTTGTCACCAGAAACGAGTTATCTTTAGCTCTGAGGAAGCTGTCCTTTGTCAGTGGTGGCCTTACTTTAATTTTAGTTTTTCTATACAAAAGGCAAGTCTTAATACAAGGCTTATTTTTAAAACATGTTGGTTATCCTAGAAAACAAAATTGAGAATTTAAAGTAGCCAACACTACCCAGAGATAAAACCTTGTGTGTTGTGAATAATCCTTCAGCCATCAGTGGAAAATGTTAGCACTGCTCTTTCCAAGTGGAAAGTTGAGCCTGCCTTTTTGAGTCAGTTTGTCTGCTCCACTGAAAAAGTAATGTTTTAATATACTAGCTTAAACCACCCTACAGTAAAGATGGCAGAGAACTACAAAACCCAGCCCTTGGCCAGGAGACTGTTCCTTCTCTGCTGGAGGAAATTGGCACTAGAGGACAGTGAACAAAAATTCAAGGAAAAAACAATTCACTTAAAGAAGATTAAAACAGCAAAAATAGAATAACCACTGCAATGCTGGCTGCGAATTCACACAAGGTTTCTGTGGGGCTGTCTTGTACAAGAGTATTTAAGATCATCACTCCAAAACTAAATAACAGTTCTGGAGAATATGCCCAGGGAGCTGACCTATGCTGACTATGCCCTGGCTGTTGCTGGAGGATGTGGCAGGGGTCTTGCTTATGAGAAAGATGGGTACAGAGCTTCCCACCCTGATCTGGGTTAGGGTTAGAGATTCTTTTGTCTGATAACTCCCTGAGGCACTTCAACAGAAGACCTCCAGATCCAATAAAACTAAAAGCAGTTTTGTTGTGTTTATGGGCAACAACCTCGCTGGGGCCTTTGGCCCCCACAAAATCTCTCTGATGCTATGAATAACCCAATTGAGATGTTCTCCATTTTCGAAATCCTTTTTCTCCATCTTAAGTGAGATTTCTTCTTCTTCTCCCTTAATGACTTTCCCCTGGCTTTCCTTTCCAATTACCACCTCTCAGGGGTCCCTTAGCCTTTGGGAAGGAAGGAAGGAAAGCCCATCACCTTTCCATCTACCACAGCACTTTCATTTCCTAGGCCACCAATTTTTTTCAATAAATATTTTTATTGAATTTTTGTGCATGTCATACAGTACATCTTAATCATATTTAGATCCCCTCTCTTCTATCTACACCTCCCCCCCCATAGCCTTCCCACCAGATTTCATGCATTCCGTCATAGATGTTAAGTCCTCTTGGGTCAAGTTTGTGTCCTCAGATATCCATCTGTGTGAGTTCATCCACTGGAGCCTGGTCAGCCTATCTAGCATCACTCCATTAAGGAAGACCAACTCTCCCTCACCCATCAGTACCACCAAACCTTTAAAGCAGTAGTTTCTACCATTAGCTCCATTCACTCCACATGCATTGGTTTATGTCCTCCTTCTAGTCTCTTTATACAAAGAGTGCTCTTGAAGTTACCTCACAATGTCCAGATCCAGGGCCTTGTTTGATTATGTTTTTTTCCTAGCTCCAGCTTCTTTGGGAGTCTTTAACATTTAACCCTTTTCTTTCTTATCATAACATTGTTTTGTCTTGGGCTCTCTATAATTCCTTTGCTTTGTTTTATTGTGTTGTGTTTTGTGACAGGATAGATAGATAGATAGATAGATAGATAGATAGATAGATAGATAGATAGATAGATATTCTCCTAGACTAACCTCCAAATTGCAGCCCTCCTGCCTCAGCCTCCCTAGGGCTAGGATTGTAGCCTTGTGCCATGACACATAATTCTGTTCTTTTGCAGCCTTCCCACATTTGACAAATTCATCTGCTTCCATGGTTTTAGTTATTACTGTCTTTAAATGCTAACTTTCCTCTATAGTTATGTTTTATCATATTATCAGAAGTGACATCTGCTCTTTGGAATTATGATAATATGTATTATGCTGTTTGTGTAAGTACTGTCTTATTGCAGGGTTACTTGCATACATGTCTGATTTTTATTTTTTTGATGGCTGGTTTATTGAGGGAAGAGAGTAAGATTCTTTTGTTTTGTCTCTCTGTATTCTTCTTAGACCTAACATGCTTGTTTTGGGTCTTGTGTGTCAAAATGTTAACATGCCTCCTCTCATCTCTTGCCCAATCCCATCATAACTTATCTGCCAATGTTTATTTAGCACAACCCTACTTTCTTCCCTTTCTATCTCTAATCTGTGTAGGAGCTGGTGGTTCGTTTCCTCAAGCGAGCATCAAGTAACCTTCAACATTCACTGAGGATGGTATTACCTAGCCGACGATTGGCACTTCTAGAGCGTAGAAGAATCCTCGCCCACCAACTGAGTGACTTCATCATTGTGTACAACAAGGTAAGTCATTTACCTGATAGTCTTAGTGTTGGGTGACCACACACTGGTGCACAGCACTGTTCCCTGAGTGTGGCTCTCAGGAGCAATGGGACTCTACACCCGAGTCCAGCCGACTTTAAAAACTACTTACTGCTTCTGAAGGGCTAGTGGCTGAAACTTACTCTTATGAAGATTCATATTCCTTTTGAGCTCTATTGCACCCAGATCAAGTCTGGCCTGTGTGCCTCTATGTTAGAGTATTGTGCCTATAGACAGTGGTGAGTTGACCATTTGGGCATGAACCAAACTGTGAATTTAATATGATGACATTTAAAAAAAAATTTTATTATTTTTATTTTATGTGTATGCGTGTATTACAAGCATATATGTGAGTACGCCTGTATCGTGCATTGCCTCAGAGGTCAGAAGAGGGCTTCTGATTTCCCTGGAACTGGAGTTAAGGATGGTTCATAGCCACCAGTGGGTGTTGGGAATCAAACCTAGGTCCTCTGCAAGAACAGTCAGTGCTCTTAACCTCTGAGCCACCTCTCCAGCCCCTATGGTGACATTTTTATATTTTCACAGACTTGGACTTTTTTCTCTGAAACATTTTAGACAGGGATATCATTTTACAATTAAGCCCAGGAGATGCACTATTATATTAGAATTTTTGCAAAGTGTCTTATATCCAAGAGTTCTAGCCCATTAAAATGTTATTTTGGGGAGAAAAAAATTAACCACTTTATAAAAGGAAAAGCTGAGGTCTGGAAATTTAAAATACTTTTTTTAAATGATAAGAAACACTAGTAGACACACTAAACACACTCAACCTATAGTCACATTGTACTCCAGATCTGTTGAGAATTCTGTAATGTCTCCCAAAACTAAAAAAGTATATGTATTCAATTTGGAAGCTGACATAAGATAATCTTCCCAGACCCATCTTCTTTGAATTACAGCAAAATATTATGTGCCTGTTATCCAATGCTACTCTTCAAAGCTGTAGTCATGATCACAGTTGTTACTAAAAAATACTCTTTTTCAATGAGATATGTAAGTAGAAAGTAAAAACATGATAAAAATTTATATTTTGCCACAGTTACTTGGGTATTTCAAAACATTTCATGCAGTAATGACCAAAAGTAGTATGTCCGAATTCTAGGTGGGGAAAGTACCAGGAAGGATTACGTTGTAAGGAGCAATTAGCCCAAGGATAATGAAAGCAGATAGAGAAGCATTTATTGATCAGGAGTCAATCTTGTTGTTTTTCTCTGGGGTTGGACTTGAGTAGGAAACAGAACAAATGGCCGAAAAGAAGTCAAAGAAGAAACTTGAAGAGGAGGAGGAAGATGGGGTGAATGCAGAAAACTTTCAGGAATTCATCCGACAAGCAAGGTAGAGGACATTGCTGATTAATAAAAAATGTTTTCCTTCCACCTTCTGCAGTTCTATGAATAAGCAACATTCCCTTGTTTCTGACACATGGATATGAATGAACTCACTTCCAGAAGGAGGGAAAGTTTCACAGACTTAGCCTTTCCATATCTCAGCCAGTTATGTTGCTGTTGTCATGACTTCAGTTATCTAAACACTGCTGTTTGGTGTCTGGGCTGTAGCTCTAGACAGGCTTCAAAGTACACAACACTGAAAGTACTGAGAGCCTTTTGGAAATTTGAAGTTAGAGGCATCTAGTATTTACTAGGTCCATATTTATTTCTGACCTACTAATGCCATGGAGATGAACAAATTTTGCCCACATTGAATAGGGTAAGGAATTGGCAGTTTCTCCGTACTGTGAGGGTCACACCTAATTTATATAAAATTGAAAATCTCTGTATACACTGTATTTTGATGTAAGCCAACCCAGGCCATTTTGATCACTAACGTTCTATTTCCAAAGAAGGGATAACAAAGACACCTAATTTTAACTGTTATAAAAACTCAGAAAAGGAGCCTTTGTAAATTGGAGAACTGTGCAGAAACTAGTAAAATAAAGGAAAGCCAACTATAGACGCATTTAATTTGTCTTTGATCATCCACAGCAGAAAGAAAAGCAGTTCAGCTCTCCATTATTTACAAAGTTAAGTAGTGGATTGTTAGTCACCAACATAGTAAGTTAATACCTTATTAACCAAGGTATACCTCCTTGGTTAATACCTTGTGTGGAGCTCACCATAGCTTCAGTAGCTTGTGTTTAAGCATGCAAGAAACAGCATTTTGTAGGAATTCTATAATTGTATGATGTGATTTTGTTGATATTATATGATTGAGAAAACAGATATAAAAACAAAGCAAGAAACTGTTTCTTTTATCAACCTTTTGAACGATAGCAAAGGCAAAAGGGGCTAACAAAATAGCTCAGGGGATAAAGGTGCTTGCTGCCAAGTGCAACACCTGAGTTCTGTCCCCAGCACCCACATAGTGGGAGGAGAGAAGCCGCTCCTACAGGTTGTCCCCTGTCCTGCTCCCCATGGCCTGTGTGTATTACATGTGTGCACATATAAACAATAAATAAGTGTAAAAAAATTAAAGGAAAAGGCAAAAAAATAGATTCTACTGATAGAATATCTGGAATTTTTAAAAATCCCTAAAGAAAGAAAGAAAAAAAAAAACCAAGCCAAACTTTTCAAAAGGAGACCTAACTAGATACTGAACATGAATCACATATGTTGTTAACTAATAGTGTTGGAGATTAAAATACACTGGGTCATATTACTGATTGTGGCTTAAACAACAGTTGTCAGGAACTGCGTGGTAGTGTCAGGTCTTTTAACAAGTTAAGGTGAGTACACAGATACCTTCAACAGGCTGGCACATTCACATGTCTGCAGAAAGGAGGTAGGAAGAGCTAAATGATGAAGTGGGCAAAGGATAAGACAGGGACAGCAGCTCATAGCTTGGCCAGTCATCCCTTTGCCTTTGGTGTTCTGAGAAGGGCCAAATCAAACACACTGCCTGGGAGAAGCAACTGCCATTGTAGTCACACTTTTAGATCTTTGCTGGTTACTCAAAGTATTTATCTTGTGCCACTTAGCTCCTTGGGAACCTGAGGCCTTTTAGAGAATCATAAAGGTGATTTCCTGGTTCTCATCACTGTGTTCTGAAGGTGGCTTCTTCATAGTAACGTAAACATGCTTCACTTACTTGAAGGCTAACCTGGAACAGCACCAAGCTGCAGGAATAAGAAAATGGCCATCCTGCAAGTGTTGAAAATCCCCAGCCTGATTGCTTCTCAGCCCTTTGGCTAAGACAAATGAAAATCTGTACATGTTATGTTTACTGGGGGAGGGGGAGCTCAGGCTCTCCTTTATGTCTTTATACAATTCCTGGCTGTTGGTAACCATACATAATTTTAGTAATTCAGAGTGACTGTGGAGTAGTTCCGTCTCATGCATTGTATAGATGGTTGGGAATCTCTTCTGTGGTCATACTACAGTCTCCTTATTTCTGACATAGCTGATTAAAATAACAAGTGGGAGGCTGGAGAGATGGCTCAATGGTTAAGAGCACTGGCTGCTCTTGCAGAAGACCTAGGCTCTATTCTCAGCACCCACATGGCAGCTAACAACCATCTGTAACTCCAGTTCCAGGGGATCTGATGCTCTCTTCTGACCTCTGCAGGCATTGCAGGACACAGATGCACTTACATACATGCAGACAATACACTCCTACACATAAAATAAAAATAATAAATAGACTATTAAAAATAAAATGACAAGTAGCCACTTTAGTAAAGATATCCAGAAGTGGGGTAGGTCCATTGTAAAATGCAGCCAGAAGATAAACACTTCAGACTCTTAAAGTGTGTGTGTGGGGTGTGTGTGTGTGTGTGTGTATGTAAATTCTTAGCTGGGGGTCATACAGAAACAGGCTGCTGGTTAGGTTTATCCCGCAGCCCCTGGTTTGGATTCCTTACCAAGAGCACCTATGTCCAGTAGAACTTTCTGTGGGTGACTGCTAAGTGCTTGAAATGTGGGTAGTGTAACTTAGGAAAAGAATCTTTCATTTTATTTAGTTTTAAGTAAGTTTAAACAGCCCCATGTGACTATTGGCTGCTGTACCAGATAATAGAGATCTAGAAAACTCTGTAGGGTGAACAAAGCCTTATAACATGCTTTACATCTTTCACATTGCTTTCATTTAGGTTTCATATTTAACCTCTATTAATGAGGAACTTTGAGCTTGTGCATTTCATTTTTCCCTTCTCTTGCTTACTCTGTTTCCATAATAAAATCTGGTGGAAAGATTTTCCAGAGCAGCTTCCCATGCTAACCATACTTTTTTTCTTCATTTCAGTGAAGCTGAACTTGAGGAGGTGTTGACTTTTTATACCCAAAAAAACAAGTCTGCCAGTGTCTTCCTCGGGACTCATTCTAGAAGTTCTAAGAACAGCAGTACTTATTCTGATAGTGGGACAAAAGGTGGTAAGTATATGAATTTTAATGAATTTTAAACAAGAGGACCCAGAAAACTTAAGAAGTGCGAGAAGAGTCAGGAGTAAGTGTACTGGCTGCGCACCAGTCTCCAAAGTAGTTAAACCTTGCAGCAGGGGCTAGGACTGGGTACACGACGCTGCTTTTTTTTTTTTTAAAAAAGTGTTTAATTTTATTTTATTTTTATGAATTTTTGCCTGCGTGTATGTAAGTGCACCCGTGTCATGCAGTGCCCATGGAGACCATAAGAGGGGGTCAGAGCCCCAGGAATTGGAGTTGCGGACAGTTGTTAGCTGCCATGTTGGTGCTGGGAATCAAACCCAGGTCCTCTGCGGGAAAGGCCAGTGTGCTTAACCTCCGAGCCATCTCTCCAACCCCCAGGGCACTACATTTTATCAAAAACCAGAAGGCCATGGTCTTAAGGATTTGGTTTTGTTTTCTTTTTTTCATGATGACAGAACAGCAGACATTTAGTGCACACTCATCTTCTGTCTGCTGACATGATCTTACTGTTTCAAACGCCATGCAGAGCAGGTACCATTTTGAAATTTCTTTACAGATGCGAAAATAAGCTCCAAAAACTGAGTAATGAGCTCCAGCCTGCTCTCACAGGGACCAGACTTCCATCCCTGCTATGCCTGGCTGAAAGCCTCTACTCTTCATCTCTATTCTCTGTCTCCCTCATGTCCAGTCAGGCTCCTCAACACCATTGGCACCTTGGGTAGAGGTTTTTGTTATGTGAAGCTGTTCCATACTTAATAAGGGTGACTGATAGTCTTGGTCCCAAGCCCCAAATTCAGTTGACTTCCTTTGGGCATTGTGATACCCTAGAATGTTCTAAATGTTTCTAAAAGTTCTCAATGCTGGGGAACCTCATGATCACAGATTGTGGACTTGAATATGGATGAGACTATCTAGCTCATGTCATCGTTTTGAAAAATACCAATAACATTCTGTATCAACAAGCTCTGTGTCTTCAACGTAGGATTCATTTAAAACCCAGATGGAAATAGAGTCAACATAGTAATTTTGTCAGTGTTTTAAATACTAGATTCAAAGATAGAGACTTTCTCCCTACTCTTAAGGTGATCACAGTCTAGTGTGGAAATATCCACGGGAAAATTGGTAATTTTTTTTTCTAAAGTAGAATGAATTTTTGCAGAAAAATGATGTTAACGTCCTAAGGGGTAGTTTTGTTTTGTTTTGTTTTGTTTTGTTTTGTTTTGTTTTGTATGGCTGGGGATTGATCCCAGAACCTAACAATGCTAGACAAATTCTCTACCTACCACTAATCTACATCCCCAGCCTGTGTTTTAAACACTCATTTGGTTCATAGGCTAATTCATAAATGCCTGCTTAACTAACTGTATAAGTAAATTGTTGCATTGGTAATAGTCCTTTATTTTTATTTTTATTTTTTTTTATGTGTATGTGTGTATTTCCTGCATGTAGGTAAGCGCACCCGTGTGGTGCAATGCCCGCGGAGGTCAGAAGAGGCTGTTGGATCCCCTGGGACTGGAGTTACAGACAGTTGTTAGCTGCTATGTGGGTGCTGGGATTTGAACCCAGGTCTTCTGCAAGAATAGCCAGTGTTCTTAACTGTTGAGCCATCTCTCCAGCCCCCTGTAACAGTCCTTTTAAGCCCAGGCTTCCTTTAGAGCTTGTTTCTAGCTTCAGATTCATCTGCCCATTCACTCCTCATGTTTTTTACTGACCTCTTCTTATGTGTTAGGCAATTTGATAGCTGCTATCAGTTTAGTGACCCAGGCTGTCGAAGTCCTTGTGTTTCTAAAGCGTATTGTCTGGTGAACAGATTGGGTGAGTGACTGCAAAGAAGGTTGATGGAAGCCGTGAAAGGCTCCTATAGCAGTATTGAGGAGGGGAGGCTGAGGAATTCTTATAGTGAGGTTAGAGTAGGGAAAAGTGTGCTTATCCCTTGGGGCCCACATGGGCGTTCACATGGCATCTTAATCCCTTGATGGTAATGGAGAAGGCTCAGTGACCTGCACCAGCAGCTTCTCTTAGTACAGATGAATCATTTCAAATTCTCAGGTTCATGTATTAAAGGACCCCTTTGTATCAGAAGATAATTCTGTTTGTATCTCTTGTGTAAACCTGGAGGAGTAGATGAAGATTTCAGTCAAGAAAAAAGCATTTGATGGTGAATGTGGTGTCAGGCATGGTTCACAGCTGAACAAGCAAGTGTGCTATCACCTCTGCAGGTGGTGACAGGAAGGACGGGATTCAGATGTCCTTACTCTTTCATCCTGATAAACCCCTCTTAAGTTTTTGCATGAATGTGGCCCTTGATGAGGACTCTGGAACATTTTTCAATAGCTTTGGGCTGTTCTGTTTCAGTAGCCTATAGGAGAGAAAAATACTACAATAGAAACTTGGAGTGATTGTGTTGTTGAATATAGTGATCAACCTATTGCCAGTAAATCTGAGATAGAGTCATAATGGTATCCAGGCATTACGTCAACACATAGCAGTGCTACTCCTGGGTCCTCTGATGCTGCCCTGTTCCATATACCTCCAGTGGGCACCCCAGCCACTTGAACTCTTATGCCCCAAGTCTGAATTCCTGGTGGAAGCAGCTGATTGTCCTTACTTGTTTCATTTTTTAGACATGGCCTAGCCTATTGGAAGTCAGTGGATTACTATTGTGGCTTTGAGTATCTCACCTTGGTCTAGTGTAATAGAGCTGTGTAGGGAATATCTGGGAATCACTCGGTTAGCTACCCACTATGGGTCTTTCCATCCTTGGAAAAGTTAGTGGGATGTACAGTGTTTCCCACTATTGATTAATACTTGTGTTATATATTTTTTAATTTTTAATTTTTGCAATTTTCATACAATATAATTTGATGGTATTTAGAGTACCCCCCATCCGCACCTCCCTTGATTGCCCACCACCCTTGTGTTACGTTTTTTTTTAACTTTTTAAAAAATATTTTATTTGTTTATTTATTTTTTTTTAATTTTTAAAAATGATTTATTTAATAACAACATACTTAGAAGAAGCATATCATTACAACACAATTGACATATTCAATAACGGTTTCCTGAGGTAGGATGCATCTCTTTCAAAATTGGCTGTAAATTTTTAGGTTTACAGTTGAATTATTACAGTTATACAATATTGTACTCAGTATAAACCCTAAAAGACATAAATTAAATGATGTTTTAACCTTTAAAAAGATCTCCATTTCATTATTAAAATACACAGTTTCATACAGAAAAATTCTTTTTCAATGCAATTGACATTGGATGTTTGCACATGCATTTCTAAGCTCTAAATATCTAATTATTACTAGTCACAGTTGGTTACTTTCTGAGCTTCTAGGCATCTGAACATGAATATAAAGTCATCAGGTAGATTTCAATGGTAATGTTTTTCACATCTACTAATTATTGTTTTTTAATCATTATTTTTTTAATTTTTTTTT